TCTGAAATTTGATTTTTTTTTAAGTATCCACATGGATACCAAGGTTTTAAAATTTGGTATCCCTCCCGATAATCCAGTATCCTAAATCTGGATACTTAACTAGTTGGCTTTTCGTATCCCACAGGGCCAGACCCAACATCACTCTAAGGCTTACTCTTTGTCAACTACGTCAAGCATTTTCGTCCATCGCATTTTATGTTTAATATACTAGAATCCTAAAAGGAACTTATACAGTTCAAATATTCAATTTCTTAACAGTTAACAGGGTTATTTAATTATAGATTAAAGTCTAAGTGTCAACTTCTCTGATTTTTAATGCTATCAGTATGCACTCAAATGGGAACTACAGCGTCATTATCATCATCATTGGCTGTATTATCATGAAGACCATTGCCTGCATCAGGAGTTTTGGTGGTGTTAATTAAATATTTTTTACATAATATCACAAGAAAGCATGGATTATTTATGAGTATTTTAGTTCATGACGGCAGCAAAAAAAATGTATTTCTTTTTTGCTAACTATCGACCTTCAAATTTCCTTACAATCTTCTTGACTTTTCTTCACGTGCCCGCGAATACCGCCTGCTACGCAGGCTAGACTTTTCTTGATTTCAAAAAGATTCTTTTCAATGAAGTCTGGACAGTTGTTTCAATGTGGAAACACTATTCAAAATGGCGACTCGCGAATTGAACCATGAGTGGACTACATGCATAAATACAACGTTAAGACGAATGCTAGACTTGTGTTACAGCACTATTTAATGAACAAAAATGTGGGGAGACTACTAAAACATTAACTGCTATCCCGTTTTTTTAAAAAATGTGGTATCCCATCGGGATACAAGTAAAATAAACTTAGTATCCAAAACCAAATTTCAGTATCCCGTGGATATCGGGATACCGCAAATTTCAGACCCTGGTTATATCATGGCTGTTTGGCATCATTTGAAAACAGAAAATTTAGCATAAAAGTAAGCAAATTTTGCATAAAATTAAGCAAAATACAATCGCGAAAAATATAGATATATCGGGATTTTTTTCCAGTGTCGGTTTTAGTTTTTTTTTTCAAATACCGCAACAGCCTACTGTTGACTGTAGTCAATTGTGTTAAGAAATTGCGTGCGAAAATGACGGTATGAATCATATTTTGAAATATATAAAAAAATATCTGTACTGCGCAAGAAATTCCAGTTTCGGATGAGATTTGATAGCATTGATCAATGAATGCAAGGTCAAATTAGCAGGTCATAATTCAAAAATTGCAAGATAATTATATGTGCACTTTGAAAATTCATAAAAATTCATTAAAGGGTATGAGCAACAAAAAATGTTATTGCTTCATCTGAAAGAGCATGAAAAAATAAGCCGATTGGCCGTTTAATGCTCTGTTCTATCTCATCTAGTTCCGAAGTTATATGCAAAAATGTGCAAAATATAAATTGCTGATTCAGCACAACGTGTGACGTCATTAGCTGGGTAAGTATGTTTAACAAATACTAAACTGAAGCATAGCTCAGTTATTATGGGCCCAAATCAAATGAAATTTTGGATACTGATTGTACATGATGAGACGCATTGAAAAACACTTTTAATTTTGTTGCCAAGGTAACAATGTCGCTCCCAGGCCCCTTGCGCCAATTTTATAAAACAGCTTTATTCATGGTACTTATAAGAATAAAATGATATCAGAAGTATGTGTACCATACCTATGCATGCCAAAAGTTTACTTGCATGATAATAATTCGAAAATGACATACACATAGATAAATGCAACTAGTTATTCAAAATCAGTGTAAGGGTCCTGGGAACAACTGTGTTGCCTTGACAACAAAATTAGAAGTATTTTCCCGTGTGTCTCATCTAGTACTATCTGTATGCAAAATTTCATTTGATTTGAGCCAATAATAACTGAGCTATGCTTCAGTTTACTATTCAATAAACATACTTACCCAGTTCATGACGTCACACGTTGTGCTGAATCAGCAATTTATATTTTGCACATTTTTATGTATACTGTAACTTCGATGAGATAGAATAGAGCATTAAATGGCCAATCGGCTTATTTTTTCATGCTCTTTCAGATGAAGCAATAAAATTTTTTGTTGCTCATACCCTTTAAAAAACAAAAAACTCTCCCCTCAAGGACTAACAGGGTTCGAATTAATTCTGAAAAAATGGTTCGTGAATAGACAACTTGCATGTTAGACAAATTTTTGATTTAGGCAAAAAAAAGTAAATTCCCGTAAAGAACTTATTAAAATCAGTAAAATTGCAAAATTTGGTTGCAAAATGTTGTAAAATGCAGAAAATATAGCCTTGCGAAGTTTGCATATTTTCAGTATATTTGTATTACGTGCGGAAATTGTTACCATTTTCGGCTCGAAAATGGTAGCAATATTTTCTTTATTATTTTCTTTTTAACTGTTGTGTTTTATTCCCTTCTTTTTACTTAGATTAAAATTTAGTCTAACATGCAAGTTGTCCATTAATTTTTTTATTTTAAGGAATTTTCTCTAAATGGAAGTTAAAAAGTGGAAGCACTGCAATTTTCAAAAATATAATCTACATTGCAAACTCGCAAAGAAATAGAATTTTGGGTGGAATTATAATCGTTTTTAAGTACAATCTAACAACAATATCTTCAGAATATATGTTCCTTCATCACATTTACAAAGAACTGAATTTATTATTGTATATTTTTATCAATTTGAGAGACTTTTGATTCGTGATTTTGATCAATTTCTATGAAATTGGGTTCGTGAAAAATGAAAATTGATTCGTGATTCACGAACCGTTATTTCGAACCCTGACTAAAATCATCTGACATTGGAACACAGATCTGTATTTATTTAAAAAACTGGACAAGAAGTAAATCTGCAACACCCTATACTGAGGCCCCATTTTCTACAGATTTATATCACAAAATCATAGCTTCAGGGTTCAAATTAATAGGAAGAAAAAGTCGACTCGCAATTTTTTGGAGGAAAATTTTGAGATTCTTGCCTGCAAAATACCAAATAGACATCTTAAATGAAGTCCTGCCCTTCCGGAAAACTCGCTTCACAAGCTCCTTCTAAAGGAAACTTTTAAGTTTTAAGTTTCTGTTAAAACAGAACACCGTTTTAATAATAAACAAATGCTGTTCTTGACTCTTGTAGCTACCGCAACTGGTAAGTCTTCGCGTGCACTCGAGGAACAAATTGTGTTAACGAATATAATTTACACTTTAATCTTTATCGAGAAAGATTTAATACAGTTCTTTAGTTTATCATTTACTTATTCTTTCATTATTGTTCAAGTTTATACATTGAAAATACACTTATTTGGCCATGTACGTTGTTCTTCTAAGATTACTACCGTGTTCAGTGAAAGCAGCGCCAGTGAAAGCTTCGCCATTCTGTTCACGACATGTGCGAAAAGTAAACAACCTTGACGGGGCCTGGGGCGACAAGATGGTGGCTATTATTACCTATTAAATTTCCTCGTAAACTTCATCCCTCTGACTTCGTTCCAAATTGCGTAAATATATGATATATATCAGGTATTCTTTTTATCATTTCACATGTTTTTAGAAAAACAAAAATTGAAAACTAAGACATTTATTATTATTGCGACCTGCTAATTCGAACCCTGAGCTTTCACTTTTTTTTGGCCTTTACATGTTCCTAGTGACCAGGACAATTTTGAAATCATAAAGACAGAACTACACAAGGAATTTCTTAAAAGAATATGGCACTTCTGCTACTACACAAAAAGAGGCTAGGAATCTGATGAAATAAATCACAATGGGTCATTCGAGAAAAGATCTGTACTCCCCCCACGGAGGAAATTTCTGCCGTCCGGAGGGGGAGGGGATAAAAAATTGTTTCTGATAATAGTAAATGTATTAGGTCATCCAAAGGGGGTAGGGGGGTTAACTTCCTATTTCCTCCGTGGGGGTGGTATGGACGTTTTCTGGAATGACCCAATAACATAACTATGTGCAAATTTTAATACCTGCCATTTTTTAACAAGAGATCTCAGCTTATCGGTCGTCATATCCAAACCATGGAAATTTGTTAAACACTGCTTGCCTTGAACATCTTCAACCATCAACTTGAACTTTCGATATGTCACCTCATCATCCTGCAGATCTGCAAGTGATACCTCAAATACACGTCCTTTCAAAGCATCAGATGCAATCTCTATTAAAAATGATCGACCTCTTTAATATGTTATTACTATTATACTATTATACTATTATATTATACTATATTACTATTATACATACTATTACTATATATGACCGTTTTTTTAGGCGCTTTGTCAGTGACAGTTTTGTCAATTACGAAGGACATATTTGTGTACCTCGTGATCACAATTCGTTGCAAGCGGCGTGTGAAAAACTGCAAGTTTCAGTTTGACAGTTAAATGAGTTAACAATATAATAGTCACATGCCGCTTGCAACGAATTGTGATCACGAGGTACACAAATATGTCCTTCATAATTGACAAAACTGTCACTGACAAAGCGCCTAAAAAAACGGTCGCTTCGCAGTTTACTGGGAACAATAGTACGGAACATGAAAACTGTGTTTTGTATAGAACATGAAAATTGTGAAAGTGAGTTTTGCTGTT